ATCTAAATCTTTCAAATCAGTGATTCCAGTCATTATAATTTTTAAATTTTCTTGATTATTATTATTTGTCACTATATCGATTTTCTTCTTTTGTTCTGACCCAAGAATATCATACAAAGAAATTAATTTATCATACTCTACTATTTCCAAACCGTTATGGTTGGCATTGCTAATCCAATTATATAAAGAATCTTTTTCAAGTATATTTCCTGCTTGTGTAATGAAATGCGAAAGTTTGAATTTCTTCAAATATGAATTTAAAGATTCAAGTATTGGTAACTTTAAATAAATCTTTTCAAAAGTTTCAAAATAGGTGGTGGTTACTATATTTTTGAGAGATTTTCCCAAGACTATTCTTAGGGTAAAGAAGTTCCCATATTCATTAAATACGTTTTGTAAGGCATTTAATGGTTTCATTTCATTAAGCGCTTTTTCTATATCGTTACAAAACTCTAATGAAGGTTCTAAATGATTCTTATTGATAATAACTTCATATTGTTCACACTTTATTATGAAATGAATAAAATAATTCACGTAATCTGTCTCGTTATCATCAATTTTGATAAATGGAAAAGGCTCAGTGTTTTTAATTGTGAAAATCTTATTTGTAATCAAAAATTCCTCAACTTTTGTCGTTGGATTTATCATTTCAAAATAAAAGTTGCCAACCGAAATCACTTGAGGAACTTGAATAATATTCATGGCAATTTTCTTGCTACTCTCCACTTTATGGGTTTGAATTACAAGACCTTGAAATATACGAAACTCTTTGATCCATCTTATTAAGTCAACATATTCGGTATTACCGGTCTTACCGATCCACCTTTCCAAACTCAACCTTTTTTCAAAATTGGCGATTCCCAAACATCTTTCTTCAAAATTCTCGTAATTTTCATCTAACTTTCCATTTTTTAACTGGGTGATCGAAACGAGTTTATCATAAGAAATAATATCAATAATATTTTCTTGATATAAACTAACCAAACCAATTAGATAATTTTTTAGGGGTACCTAAATTTACACCATTTGACGTTTCTATTCTCGGTAAAAAGTTCAATCCAAAAGAATTATTATTGAATGAGTTTTCATCATCTTTAGCTGAATTATACGCCCAAATTAAATAAAGCTTTAAAATATCCTTTTGTATCGAAGAAGCTAAATTGAAATCTTTGATAAAAATCTGTCCTCCGACTAAAATCTTAGATGCAAAAACGTGACCGTATAATTCATGAATATTTCCCCCATCTGTAAAGTTTTTAAAAGAATCCGATAGATCGGTTCTATAAGTGATCTCAACAACCGGGAAATTAACGCACACGTCCGATGGCTTTAATTTTTCAAAATCATCATCATTATATTTGTCAATTGTGAATAAATTTGTAGGAATATTTGGATTATTTACGCTGATGTAAGCCATAGGCTCTCCATTATATAAATCAATGCATAATTTATCGTCATCAACGATAAAAACAGATCGTTCACTTGGTTGTATGCTAAATCCATTCAAGATTAAACCATGATTCAACTTCCACTTTTCTATAATTTGCTGTTTTGTTGGATTTGTATCTATTTTTCATTTATTTTTTTTGGAAAATATTAATATATAATAAACATTTAGTTTTTGGTTATAAAAATCAATAAGTAAACTGACCAATTTGTTTTTCGTCTTCCAAAAGTAAAATCCCAGATAGTTCTTCCAATCTCTTCTTAGCTTTATGATTATTATTTTCAGCAGATTTATTATACCATTCCATAGCTTTTCCGAAGTCTTTTATCGTACCAATTCCATATTCAAAACAAACAGCAACATTATATTGTGCATCATTATTTTTCATATTTGCAGCTTTTAAATATAATTCAAAGGCCATCATTTTGTTAATGGATGTCCCAAAGCCATTAAAGTAACAATAACCCAACATAATAATACCATGAGAACATTCCCCTTTTGCACTAAGACCATAATAATAAAAGGCCTTGTTATAATCTTTATTAACATAAATTCCTAGTTGATAAAATTTTCCAATCTGACATTGTGCAATTGCGTGACCATTATTCGCCGCGTCATTATACCAATAAAAAGCCATATCATCACTTTTTTCAGTTCCAATACCTTCATCGTAACAAGTTCCTAACGCAAATTTACCTACTATACCTCGATGTTGTTTAGCACATTTGTTATACAATTCAAATGCTAGTAGTTTATTAGTTGTAACACCTAATCCATTTTCATAATATTTTCCTAGATAATATTGAGAAATAGGGTGACTTGATGATGCTTGTTTAAAATAGTTATATGCTTTGCCAGCATCTAAAGCTGTACCAAATCCAGAATGGTTCAAATATCCCATTAAAAATACGTGATCTAAGTTTGTAATTTTATTTTCACCTAGCCAGGCACAAATTTTTTCAA